ACATTAACTGCTGGGGCAATAAAAACCTAAAAAACAAACGTCAGGGTGGTTTACACACCACATGTATCTTTCCTGATTCATAAAGCAAATTCTTTTAAATGCTAATACATTAACTGGGACAAATAACTATAAATTTATTACCAGCCAAAGTCAGTGGAGGAAAACGTCATCTGAGAAAATCATTGAGCCACAATGCCAACACTCAATTATTTACTAAGTATTGTATCATTCAGTCATGCAATAAGCCTCTTATTATTGGGACTAATGGTCTTTCGCATTATGAATTTCACAGAACACAATCCATACCGTCAAGGGCTGATACACTCCCAGGAAGGCCATCATGTTTGGTTAATAAGATTCATATAGACTTTGTAGGGCCCAATATTCCTACATTGAGACCCAGTACAAGAATACTGTGTACTGCCAACCATGTTTCAACACAAAAATTCATCTTGTTCTGTGGTTCAAAAACTAGCTAAGTGTGCCTTAATTAATCAAAACTCACCTGAACGGGTATTTTCAGCTGAATAACAATCTGCTCTATCTTGAACTTGAAGTCTGCCACACTCAACTTTTTCTTATGAATTTCAATCTGAGAAAAAAAGTGGAAAGAATAATTCAACACATCTGTTATTTTGTCCTCTCTGAAAACAATGCAGAATGTGTCTTGCAAAGTAGTCTGAGAACTGCACCCATTGTGCAGTTTTAGAAAATGTCAGTACCCACCCTAAGGAAGGTTAACAGAAATTCCAAGGGGGAGGGGCTCTCAAAAGTCAAAATTTTTACAGTGAAGTACAGTCCAACCTCCGGCTGCGACCACCTCTCATAAGTGACCACCTCTCTTCAGCGACCAGTTTTCCAACATACCAAAAGTTTCTCAGTGAAATCACTATATTGGAAATCTCTTGTAAGCGACCACCTCTTGTAAGCGACCATGACCACTTTTAGAACTAAAAGTTTGAACTTTTCTTTTGATTTTAACCTCCCTTAAGCGACCACTTGACAAGTAATAGAGTGTAAATTGGATGCTAAGGTGTTGCAACATTATCACATTCCTGGGTAGTACAAGAGACAAAAATTTCTCAATGGGAATTAAGTACCAGATTTTTTTCTCGAAATTGATTTTTCACATGAATAAACATTTAAACCATGGGGTAAGTTGCTGCAGTTACCATGATATGGTAACTGCAGAGACTAATATGGTAATGTGCTAATGAGGCAAAATTTTGACTCAATATGGTCTAAGCTCTCCTAAGCAACCACCTCCCGTAAGCGACCTGCTAGGCTTCACATTTTGGGTGGTCGCTTATGGGAGATTTGACTGTATGAAGCTAAACTGGAATTTCCAGAGGGGTGGGTGGAAGGGGGGATCAAACTAAAAAACTTTCCATGGGAGGGTTATGGATATTTTCTGGATCAACACTCTTGTGACTGCAGCATCATGAACTTCCAC